CGTGGGGAGCTTTGCCGTGAGCCACCAAATGTGGCACCAGCCTCTCCTTCCTGGGGAAGCGAAGCTGTTGATTCGATGTTCGCAAATCTGGACCCGTTTGGGACAGTCAAGTGCGCGGAGTCCGAGTTCAGCCGAGTGGGGTGTTGGAGTGGGGTGGGGAGTGATGCCTGTCCCTCCTGTCCATCTCTCTCAGGCTTCCAGGCGCCCCTCCTATGGCCATTAAGGATGGAGGTGGCCTTGAGGCTATGTCCCTCCTTTGGGGCAGTGGGCCAGGGGAGACACCAGGAATCCAGAGCCTGGCCTTCTGCCTGGAGAACTGAGGCTCCCCCTGCTCCTTTCCTCAGTGTCCCCTGCTTAGTGGCCTTGGGACTTGCTTCCTCCCCACTAATGAGGGTGGGGAAGCAGTGGAGGGAGAGGGGGAGCAGTTCTCTGGCTTCCCAGACTGTCTGAGCCGGGGGTAGACTCGAGAACACTCAGAGAGGGGCTTTAGTGGGCCCCAGCCCCACCTCCTGCCTACCTTGGGGCTCAAGGCCTAAGGCTCAGGCGAGTTTCCCACCAGGTGCGTGTGTGTGGAGAGGGATGGTGAGCCGGGCAGTGCTGGCTCACCCCCTTCGCAGCTGTATCCCATGGGGAGAAGGTTGGGGAAGGGGCGGCACTCGGCGGACCAGGCTGTTAGGGTGGGGAGGCTCTCTGTGCCTCTCAGCTCCAGAGGAAGTGGCTGGCAAGTGCTGGCTAACTGTCTCCTCACAGCCAGGAGGCAGCGCAGGGAGCAGGGAGCGTGCCCAAGCATGACCGGCGAGTGTGTGTGCTCATCGCGCGGAGTCTGGGATGTGGCCTGGCTCATGGCCCTCACAACCCCAGGATGCCCGCCCACCACCTTCCAGACAGTCCGGGGCTTGGGGCTCTGGGCAATGGCTCCTACACGCACTTCGTTGGGGCCTCCGGACCGTGGGCAGCAGCACCCGCCAGGCCACGTCAGCCTGGTAACCGGCGGCGGCCCCCACCCCGGCCTGAACTGCTGGAGGCTGGGTGGCCCTGGAGCTGCATGGTGCTGACGCCTGGCTCCCTGGTGGCAGGGGCTGGGGCGGTACCTGCTGGCCTCCCCTGGGCCCCAGGGCCCCCTCACCTTGAGTTGGGACTTGGAGACCTTGCCGCTCTTCTCCACGTCCAGCGCAGTGAAGGCGTACCAGATGGACTTGAGCAGCTCCTTGCGCAGGGCCATGGCTGAGGCGCCAGCCAGGCCCGGGGGCGGCTCTGACATCAAGATCCGGTTTCAGGAAATGCAAACGGCTGCAGAGACCGCAGAGGGGCCGTGGCGCAGCGCGAGAGCTCCACCTGCCTGCTCGCTGGGGCTCCCCTGCCGGCAAGTAGCCGGCCTCCTGCTCTTGCTCAGCGGCCCACTCCCAGCAGAGCTGCAGACCAACCCTCGGAGGGCCAGAGCCCTCTCTGTGCCGGCCTGTCCTCCGGGCCTGTGAGGTCCTTTCAGAAGCCTTCCAGGGACAGCTTGCTGAATCAAATGGCAGGTTCATCCTGACTTGGCCCCGGTCAGAGTGGGGGTAGGCCCCAATTCCACACTTAGCAGGGGAGTCCCTGGACAAGTTACTTAACCTCCTTGAGCGGGTCACTGTGAAAGCAGGAAACACATCAAGCTCTCAGAGCCTGAGGGCACTGTAAAGCCCACAGTAGGCGCTGGGTACAGCAGGGCTTCGGTGCCACCAAGCACTAGCGCAGGGGCAGGGCTCTGCTCAGGGGAAAACAAAGGCCGCACCACAGAGCTGGAGGGGGACTGGGCCAGGGCCTCTCCAGGTCAGGCGGACTTGGCACTTGACCTGCTGGCTCCCATCCCGGGGCACTGGCTCTGAAAGGCACTCAGAACACTGCCCACACAGGGGCCGGAGGCTCTGCAGACAGCAGAGACTTTCTCTGAAGCACACGGGGGTGAGCCTTGAGGTGGGCCCAGCCTTGGGTCTTGGCAGCTGCGAACTTGGGACATCAGCACTTTTCTTTAGACCCAGTGCCAGGAGTGCTGGGACACACCCACACTAGGAACAGTGGCCACGGGTACAGCTGAGGTCTACTCAGGCCAATCTGGAGACACCCCCCCCTCCCCGGGCTCGCCCCTGCTCTGCTGCCTCCAGGGAGCTGGCGGCGGGAGTAAATGGGGGAGCTTTCTAGATGTCCCACCAGACTGCCCACGTTGGGGGAGGGGTTTCCACTTCCAGGGAGCAGGAAGGGCTCGGGGCACATCCGTCTCAGTGGAAAAGAAAAGGGAAGGAAAAGCAGGCAGCTCAGACGCCTGCAATGTTCCCGTCCAGACAGGGTCACACCTGGAGTTCCTTTCCACTGAGTCTGCCCCAGTATCCCTCGCTCCCACCAGGGCTGGCCTGGCCTTAGCGCTAACTTTTCAATGGGCTTCCTCTCCCTTGGCTTTGGACTCTCATGGCATGGCCCTCGACACTGAAGTGAGCCCCCGGGATGGGTAATGGGACCTGGCTTCCGCACCAGAGCAGTGCCCTCTGGAGCAGCTGACTGGGTGGTCAGGGTGGCTGGGGCTGGAAGGGCCAAGAGTTCTTCCTGCCCAACTACCCTGAGGCCCGAGATTTGGCCAGGAATCTGTTCAGGCGTGAGCAGAAAGGCACAGGAGGTCCTCAGGCTCAGTGTACAATGTGCATTCCTCCCACCTAGGCCCAGGTCGGCCAGCCCCACAGCCTAGGCTGAGTGGAGTTTGGCCAGGGATCCAGGGCTGACATCCTCACTTGACCAGCCCTGCCACCAGGGCCTAGGGCGAAAAGAATGGAGGGAACCAGGTGGAAACTTGGAACTTTATTAAATATTCATTCACCCGTTTGCCACCATCACCCAGAGCAGAAAAAGAATTATCAAAATGGAATAAAAAAACAAACAAAACCAAATTAAACCCAATCCCCAGCAGTCTATGTACAGAGCCATCCCCGGCCTCTGTGCCACAGAGAGGTGGGGGGTAGCTGGGGGTGGTGGGGCTGGGCACCTTTCTCCAGCCACAGGCCCCTGAGGAATTAATTCTGACTGTGGTGGCAGGAAGTCCCTGGTACCGAGTGGCCAGGCCTCACGGCTGACCTCCGGGGAGGTGGTTATTGCTGGGAGGGGCAGGGCTGGGCTTATTCCGCCCCCACTGGGCTGAAGAGCTGCGTGCCCTCTCCCCAGCTGGGCCACGACCAGTGAGGCTGGAGGGCCCGTCCCACAGCAGTCCCACTCTCCCCCTGAGACAGCAGTGGGCTGGGGCAGGAAGTGTTCTCTAGAGGGGGAGAGAGGCTGCCCTGCTTGTTTTGAGGGGAGGGTGCCCAGCACGCCTGGTGATCAGCCTGTTCTAAGCTCCCGAGGATGACACGCTTCCCTGATCCTTTTGGGCAGGCTCCACCCCCTTTAGTTAGGCCGCTTCCTCCGTGCCCCAGAGACCCATGTGGCCACCTTCTGCGTGTCAGCCACAGCCTGGGCCCGTGGCAACAAGGAAGCCTGTGCAGCATGGCACTGCCTCCCACACGGTGCAGAATCTGGCCCTCGGGTCAGCAGCCGCTCTCCGACACTGTTGTCTCCAGGGCCACAGCCCCTTGCTGCATGGCAGCAGTGGCCACGCTGATGGCCTCCTCTAAGGTCTGCTGTTCCTCCAGCTGTGGAAAGGGTACAGGAGGAAGAGGAGCGTGAGACCCTGCCTCCTAGATTCTAGTGTTACTAGTATGGGCCTCCTTTTAACATTCCTCATCTGCCCAGTGCCCCATGAGCACTTAGGAGGGCCCCGGCAAGCTGTTAGGAGTTCACTGGTCACTGTGAGGAGAGTCCAACCAGGCCAGGCATGGCCAGGGAGCCAGAGAACGGGCAGGGTGAGAGAGGCCACCTTGTGCCCGGGAGAATGACTGGAGGGGACCTTAATGATCACCGGCGTCAGCCTCATGTTCCAGGTGAACACAGATATGAGGAGATAAAGGCTTGGACTGTCATCCCGAGGCGAAGGAGCTTCACCCTGCTGCCTCGGTTGAGAGCAAGCGAGACACACAGACGTAGGAAGAAAGGGACTTGTTCTCTGCAACGGGCTTGTTCGAGCCAGATGCCCTTCTCTTCAAGATCCCCTGGAAGTCTCCTCTCCCCCTTGTTCCCAGCTCTGGCTTTGGTATCCCCTCCTCACAGACCCGGACCCACCTGCACTGCAATGTGTGTTCCGTTGGCTGTGGCCAACAGTGCCACCTGCTGATGATGAAGGGATGCTACACTCGAGTCCTCAGTCACCACAGCCCCAGAGGTAATGATTGTGACCTGAAATATGGAGGAAGGAGGTCATCAATCACCTGCAGCACTTTCCCTGCCCCCATTCCAAATACGTCCCTCCAAGCAAGGTGGCTGGAAACAACCCAGAAGGAAATGGATTGAACTATTATGGGTCAGGTTCATTAGCTGAGGCTTAGAGCTAAAGTGAGGTTGGGTTTTTCTCCAGTTTTTTTTTTTTTGAGAGGTTTTTGCTATAGGGCGTGTGCTCGCCAGACAGAGAGAGACAGAGACAGAAAGCGAGAAATCACCCCCCAGGGGGGATGGCCACGCCGCAATCCCTTCTCCTCCATTCTCCTCTCGGGATCTTGGGCACACACGCACATGCGCCCGGCGTGAGTTTTAAGCCACCGGGTCCGGGACGCGAACCATGGTTGACTACGTGGGAATCCAGCGACATAGCCATTATGTTAACTGCTGGTTCCCTTTCCAGTTTTTTAAAAATTATTTCTTTAATTTTATTTGTTATTTGCATTTATTTTTTCATTTTACCAGAGAGACAGAGATAGAGAAAGAGAGAGAGGGAGAAGAGGAAAGTGAGAAAGCAAGCTGCCAGGTCTGGGACTCAAACTGTGGTCAGTCATGTGGGAGTCCTGCTGGCCCCTGGTTTTTCTCCAACTTTTAAGGCCCAATATAATTTAGGAATTTTTAAATCATAGGATAGGGCCATTAAAAAAATAGAGAACTTGAAAGCAGACTGAAGTCCATGGGAGGTGGCATGCTTATGGCTGCAAAGTCAGGAGCTGCTAGAGAGTAAACTGCGTCTAGACCTCCAGGTCAAATGCTTTTAAAGAGAAAACTTGATGATGGCCAACAGGAGCTGTACGGAACCCCCCCCCCTTTCTTTTTTTAAAAGGCTTTTGCCACAGAGCATGTGAGCTCACAGAAGAGAGACAGACAGAGGGAAAGTGAGAAATCATCCCCCGAGGGGCATGGCCACCGCAATCTCTTCCTCTCTGTTCTCCTGGGGTTTTGGGCACGCACACATGCACATCCAGTGTGATTTTCAGGCCACAGGGTCTGGGACTCAAAGTGTCGCCAGCCATGTGGGAATCCAGCACCTTAACCACCACACCACCTGCTAGCCCTGGGGGAAAACCCTTTTTAAAAAATATTTTTCATTTTGGGAACCAGCAACTGGCATAATGACTATGTTGCTGGACTCCCACATAGTCAACTGCAGTTCGCGTCCCAGACCCGGTGGCTTAAAACTCACGCCGGGCGTGTGTGTGTGCGTGCCCAAGATCCTGAGAGGAGAATGGAGAAGGGATTACGGCGTGACCATCTCCCCTGGGGGGTGATTTCTCGCTTTCTGTCTCTATGTCTCTCTCTGTCTGGCGAGCGCACGCACTCTATAGCGAAAAATATATTTTTCATTTTTTAAAGTTTTGTTAGAGGGCAAGTCTGTTTGTCAGAGACAGAGGGAAACAGAAAGTGAAGAGGCATCCCTCATGGAGACGGGTCACACTGCAATCCCTTCATTTCTCCCTCCTTTCGTGCACACTTGCCCGTGTGTTTCTCAAGCCACCGGTCCAGGATTTAAACCACATAGCTGGACACGTGGGATCCTCTCCTGAACCACCATGCCACTGGCTGGCCTGGACAATCTCTGTCCTCGTAAGAGGGCTTGACAGGTTAAGCCTGCACTTCCACGCCCACCCCTTGGGAAAGGAATGACAAGAGAACAAGAAACCCCAAGCAAACCGCCTGGTCATACGGGCTGCGTCTGGGTGCCATCGGCGCTGACCATGGTGACCGTATGTGTGCCCGATGTGGCCAGGTCATCGTCATGACTGGGGATGGTGAGGGTGGTGGTGCTGCCGTGCTGGGTCACCATACTGATGGCACTCCCCAGGGCCTGCAGGTCTTCCGGGGACAGGCTGACCTGCAGACGGGAGGGAAAAAGACGAGTGCCGCTGGAAGGCTGTCTGGACGCCCCTAAGGGGAGGATCTACCCCCTAGACCAGGCTAGCTTACTGGCGAGCTGGGTTAGCTCGTGTTCCAGACGGAGAGGCGGGGGAGCTAGCGAACAAGAGGGGCTGAGGTTGTCAGAAGGTACACTAGAAACCCTGCTGCCACCTCACTGCTGGACTCCGCCACACGCCATGCGGGACCGCTACCCAGTTTGTCCTCGTCACAGCTCTAGGAGGCACACGTGCACTTTACCGTGAGGGTGCTGGCTAGCAACACTGGTGGCACTAGATCCGAAGCGTGCAGACCCTCCACCATTGGGTCCCTATATGCACATGCCTCTCTCGAGGACATGCGCGGGTCTCATTAGATAATCAGGGGCTGGCAGCCTCCCAGCAGAGACAGAAAGTGCTAACTGTGCTCCGGAAGTCCCAGAGCTGAGCTGGAAGCTCAGGAGGGGCTGTGTGAAGGTTTGGCACCCTCGGCCTCAGCTCCCTAAGGTCCATAACGCTAAAGCAGGAACTGGGTAGAGGCAGGGCGGTTAGAACTTCGAGGCTCCCTTGGGCTCCAGGGAGTGTGGACAGGTCCCCAGAGTGGCCTGCCCCTCCCCGTCCCTCAGGACCTGTACCTGCTGGGCGCCATCCTGAGTGATCAGAGCCACCTGGGGGGCCCCATTCTCCTCGGTCACCATGGCTACTTGGGCCGGGATGTCATCGCCCTCTTCTTTCACCTCCGAAAGGTAAGCAATGCGGGGTCGTTTGGGTGGCGGGCTCTCCTCTGCTGCAGAGGCGGCTGGGAGAGGAGAGCCCAGGCTGACACGTGCCACCGCACACCATGGGGAGCCTGGCTTGTCTCTGCTCTCACCCCCTGCCCGCTCCCCTCACCCTCGAGCTGCTGCTGTTCGTAGAGGGCCTGCTCGCTCTCTTCCGTGGCCTCCAGCTCGCCGTGGGCACTGCGCTTGTGCATGGCTAGGGTGGAGGTCTGCCGGTAGGTCTTGCCGCAGGTGCTGCAGGTGTAGGGCTTGCAGTGTGTGTGCACCACATGGTGCTTGTACAAGCTCGAGTACTCGGTGAAGCGCTTCCCGCAGCCTGGCACCGTGCAGACGTATGGCTTCTCCCCTGGGGACACTTGGCTGTGAGGGGGTGGGAACTGGGGCTGACAAGGGGGAAACTAAGGGGACAGGGGTGGGGGACAGGAGAAGGGAGGGAGAGGGACTGAGACTGGAGGCTCTGAATGAACGGTGTTAGGGAAGATGAACAGAGGTGGTGAGGGACCAATGAGCCCAGAGACAAGGTGAGGAGATGAGGAAGAGGGTGGGGCAAGGCTAGGGCTAGTGAGGGGGGTGGTGGGGGTGGGCTTGTACAGGTGAGGGTGGGAGGGGTGACAGTGAGGAAGAGAAGAGGCAGGACAGGGAAGGCGGGG